TGAGGGAAATTGGGACCAATTTGATGGACATTTGAAGTGGATTTGGGGAGATTGGGCCTTTTAAGGACAATTTGGGGGTTTTAGACCAAGATGGTCCAATTGGGTCGTGTGGTAGTTAAGAAAAAATGAAATTAGAAATATTTGAAAGATTTTGGGAATTTTTGAGATTTTGAGAATTTTTTGAAATTTTGGGTTAAGGAGGGGCATTTTGGTAATTTTGCAATTTTTGGTGATTTTGGGCAATTTGGATGTTTTCAAAAGGTTTGAAATAATTTTTGAATAAATTTGGGTATTTTGGATAAATTTGGGAATTTTGGCCAAATTTAGGGTTTCAAGGGTACTTAGGTAATTTGAGTACTTAGGTAATTTGAGGGAGTTTAGTGGAAAAAGGCTAAGTTGAGTATTTTTGGTAGAATTGGGGTGCCAACCACCATAAATAAGCCATGGACCAATGAAAATCTCATTTGGGTCCTCTATGTATTGGACCTAGCTAAACCCTAGCCTAGGGCCAGTGGGTTTAGGGGACCATCTACATGAGTCTCCCAAAGGATTAAGGGATCCAAGTCAAAAAAATTTTGGGTTTAAGGTACTGAGTGATTCTGAGTGAGGTGATTGTAGTGAGTGCCTTAGTTCTAAACCAACACCCAGGGTCAACCCTAAGGTCAAACAGTCCTATGGGAACTCTCCTTGAGCTCCCTCATAATGACCCCACCTACTAAGTGCTAGAGGTTATGACCAATATATAGAGCTTTAAGTTGAGTAAAGAGGAGTTTGGAATTTTTAATGATGAGGGTTCCTTTTCTAGTTTTCTAGGAATAGTCAACAGAAAAGTTCCATGACTAGACCCTAGGCTACTAAAGAGGAAGAATTATACCTCAACCAAAAGTGAGGTCAACAGTAATATTAAAACATATTTGCAAAATTAACACACTAAATCCACCCCCATCAATACACTTCCAAGGTGTTTGGATCCATCACTAAATCCACTCCCATCAGTAATCAGGACGCACGCTGCGGAACTCATCTACGTGAAGTTCCCTTCATGGAAATCCTCCACATGTTTTTTCTTACTTGTCTTTATCATTTTATACTCTTGCATTCTGATTCCTCTCTCCTCCAAATCATAATTTGAAAGGGAGTTTACTCAAAGAAAGGACTACATGACGATAGACAAGCTGGTGGCTCCTCCAACAAATAGACAACAAAAATAACGAGGATAGGAGCGCTGGACTGGAAAGGGCACAAACAAATGTAGACCTGATCGAAACTCTAAACCTAACCCACGTTTAACCCAACCCAGTATTGACCCAGACCCTAAACCTAACCTATACCCGACCCAACTCAGACTTGAACCAAACTCTAAACCTAACCCATATCTTATCTAACTGAGGCCAAACCCTAAACCTATGTGAGCTCGGGTCAACCTAGCTTAACCCTGATTAAATATGAACCAAAATTTAAGCCAACTTGCATTAACCCATCTTAACTCAAGACAACTTAAGTTAACATGAATAAAACCTAAATCAAACCTATGCCAAACTAGATCAACCCAGCTTAACTCAAGTCAAACTTAAGTCAACATGGGTCAACCAGCTTAACCCGACTTAAACCCATATCAAACCTAACCTCGGGTCAAACCTAACCTAACTCAAGTCAACTCAGCTTAACCCTAGCCAATCGTTAAGCCAACCCAGGTTAACTCAGGTCAATCTGAGCCAACAAAAAATAAAAACCCAATTTAACTCGAACTAGCTTAGAGCCAGCTTAGGCGTGAACCAGCCATCTCATACCATACCTTGGCTCGACTCTGAGCTAACTTGAGCTGAAAAGACCTAGCATACTATAGCTCAACCCTATTTTAAGTCTAATCCAATACTAAGTGTTACCTTTATATGTTTTATCTTACGCGTCGTTTCATGTTCTATTTTATATGCCACTTCATGCTCTATATTCTTTCATGTGTTAGTTCATATTTAAAAACAAAACAAAAATAGCAAAAAAAAAAAAGAAAAGAAAAGAAAAGAAAGCATAAAACACAAAAATAAATATGAGAATTTCTCAATTTTCTTTACAAGTATCAAAAATCGAAATTCAAATAAAATATAAATCAAAATATAGAAAACCCAGATTTCTCAATATGGCTGACAAACATAAAAACCAAATAATGCATGAATTAAAGTTGTGAAATTCAAATAAATGTTTTAGATACATCAAGATAAAGATCAATTACTAAATCTACGTAGATCAGACATGGTCTTTAGGTTAACTAATTTAGACACCGAACTGAAGGCCATACACTTATCTCAAGTTAGTCTGATTATAAAAGCATACATTAGTTCAGGTTGTTAGTTAGTACTAAGGACTAGAACATGGAAAATAACAAAACTATCCCATGAGACTAAAGAGAATTCATTAGAATGAAGTAACTCATGGTTATTGACAAAGGTATTTTAGACCACTTTCAAGCTATGAATCTTCTATGCTCCGGCGTTCAAAGAGGGTTCCTGTTCATGAGGTTGGTTCTAGTCAACAACTAACAATGCTTTTTAGATGAAGAAAACCATAAGCACCATGATCGGGGACGTTATTCTCAAAATCTAGGTTAGTCTGCCCATATAATTCTTTATAAAGTATAGGGTTTCATTTCTATCTAGAAATCTTTTCCTAACTGACTCTATTCTTAGCTTAGGGTTTCCAATCACTCATGTAAGCCGAATCAAGTATCCCTAAACTATCTTTTTATTTCACCCAATCAATCCAAATTCATCAAATCTTTTTAAATCTTTTTTATGTCTCTGGCCTTTCCCATGACATGTCAGCATTAGATTGTAAGTCTCGTCCTTTTGAACTTAATTCTTTCTATTTGGACTTTCCCAGTCCAATTTTGAAGACTAAATCTTTGACAATTAAACTTCTTATATAAATCTAGAGGTTTTCTTTAGGCCTTGCGGTTCTAAAGATGTAATCAAATATGAGAGCTTTCCCTTGTAGGGAACATGACCCCATAATTAAAATAAACCATATCTTATACTCGTAAGGTAAGTTAAAAACCCTGTTTCCATAGTCCCCAAAAAGCTCTCTTTTGGATGAATCCATTCGAAGTTAATATCTCTATCTTCTGAGATAGTACATTATTCTTCGAATGTCATATTCGATCATTTAGATAGAAATATTTTTAGATTGAAGGTGGTAAAAAAACAACAACCATTGCTTTTCAAGTAGATCGTGCAAAAATTGATGTTAAATTAAATGTATATCTAAAATTGAGTTTTCTTAAGCAACAAGAAAGCCTAAATACTAAATGGTCCTCATGGGCTTAATGTATCGAGCCACCAAACTATGCATTCAATGATTTGACATCGACCCGATCAATCGTACTCGTTAGTTGTATTTTTGAAAGTGACAATTTTCATAGCTCCTTGCTGACCTAAAGCTTTCTATGAGTACCTTCGTAGTACATCAACATTCCAACCTTAATCTTCAAGCGAGTTCTTTCGACAAGTCTAGCCCACACTACCCAAGTTCCAATTCCAAACTTGCATGAGCTGATTGGGCCTCCTCACCATACTCATCGACAACTATCTGACTACGCCACTGAGCTCGAGAAACAGTTCTGCAAGACGGCAGAAAACTCCATTCCGCGAGCATACATACCAAAATTTATTAACAACATAATAATCTACTTCAGCTGTCATATCAATGAGTCTACTCTAACTCCGTACTATACATCATATAATCTAGCTTTATATTTTTTCTGTAGGGTACCTAGGCTATAGAACAAATAAATAAAAAGATAAAGGGAACTGGAGGGCTCTCTCAATCATATACCACAAAAAAACTCTCTAATTATCTCTCTAAAAAATCATTCAACTTCTCACTCCTTCCTCAAGGTCTCTTCCGAATTGTATGAGTTTGCGAAGTATACAGGATCTCACGTTCCAAAGGGTTTTGATACTTTCATATCATTTCAAAAAATATCACTATTTAACTTTTAAAAATTAAAATACACATTTTTATACGTTAAAATGGTATGTTTGTGGCTGTGTTAAAGTTTATGTGTTAGATATATGAATGTATATGAATCGAGTGGAAAGTGAGTGCTCCAATCAGATCGTTGTATTTATATATTTTTACATTTTTATTTTATATATTTTTACATTTACATATTTATAAATCGAGTGGAAACTCTTAACCTTATTTTTAACAAATGTACCATTTGTTTGACTGTTGTATTTATATATTTTTACATTTTTATTTTAAATTTTTTTTATAACACTTATATATTTAATAATATTTCAATGTTTATAAGTTATTTGAGTGATAAATACTCAATTATAAATATATCTAAATTATCATACACTAACAAATATAATGTTTTAAATATAATAATTTAATTGAGCGAAAATTATACTTAATTTACAAAATTAAAAATATATATTACTAATTTAACTGTCAATATTATATATCACAATTATTATTTTTGGAGTCCCACTTAAAATTAAAAGAGAAATTTTATAGGATGGTGGTGAGATCTACAATGCTTTATACATAGAACATTGGTATGTGAAAGAGATGCATAAAATTTAGTTTAGTGATGTTAGATGAGAATGCTCAAGTGGATGAGTGGCTTTGTACTTAAGACAAAATATGAAATTGATATATTTGTGAAAGAGTTGGATTAACTCCACTGACAAGCATAATTAAAGAGAGTTAAAGATGATTTGCTCACATTAAATGTCCACTATCTGATGATTTATATTGGTGAGTAAATATTTTAGATTCAACTTATGTTAAAAAGATTATAAATAACCTTAAATTATTAGAATTAAATGAAAACATGATACTTATTTGAACACAAGGCTTTCCGATTCCTATTTTGTAGCTTTTGTTGGAGTCTTGAATTCAGACTCTAGCATGACAACTCGGCCGGCTGCTGGATCGCGGACCAGCAGCAGAATATGCGGTGGCATTGCCGTAAATTATATTGAATTAACTGTCAACCTTGTAGATAATAAACATTCCAGATTTATTATCTTTATTTGTCAAATTATCGGCAGAGCCTCGCAGTTTCTGCTACCTCCGGCTGCATCCGGGCCGCCCGGCGCTCCAATCTTTTTCTCTTCGTAAGGTTTATCTAATTTTTACTGTAGTTTTCACTTTTGTTAATCGTGTTGAGCATATTTAATTTTATTTTGATGTCAGCAGACCATATGCTTTTGGTCATCGCGTGTTCCACTGCTCTCAGAGGTATGAACAGTGAAGAGACGGGAACGGAATCCAGGTTAGTTTACTTTTTCCTTCTTTTATCGGGGTTTTTCCATTTAAGATGATTTAATCATTTTGTTTGACCGGAAACGTGGAAGATTATTGAACATGTTGCTGAGCTTGGTTTTGTGAAGTGAAGTAGATTTCGAATAATTTGAAGTTTTGATCAATATTTGATGTGCGGAGCTATGATTTTAGCTTTGGATGAACGCTTCTAGCCTAATCCAATTTGCGTTCTGTTTTTGAAAGATATCAATACCTCTTGGTTCTTCTCTTCTAGTGTTTTTAGAAAATTTGATAAAATTGCGGTTGGCTATGTTTTTTATCTATTTGTTGCTGTCTGGCAATAGATGAGATTTAACGTACTAGGATTTGGTAAATCCCGTAATCTGGATTTACTATATGCTATATGTGTTAAATCCATATAAGTGTTTGGCAATGGATTTACTAAATCCTGTAAATTTAGTGAAACTGTTTGCTAATTTCTGCCAGGATTTAAAAATTAGTTATGGCTGTTGGACTGTGATAAAATGAAACACACAGAGATTATCTAAAGTTTCTCCCACAAAATATTTTGATTCAATGTCAGAATGTAAAAGTCCAGATTACTTTCCCAAATCCTCTTTTTTTTTTTTCGAGAGGCGTATTTATGTAGTCCAACAATAGTAGCAAAATAACTCGATGAACAAAAGCAAACAAAGAATTTTCAGTTAGAATTTCTGTAACTTTGTGGACAACTAATGAAAAAGCTGTCACAAAAAACCCATGAGCTAATGTGTTCAGGATGGGTATTATAAGGCTATGATGAACAACCATACTGATGACTTCCTATGTATTTACATATCTACTTTGCAAATTGAGTAGTTCAGGGAAAGCAAATGAAAAATTACAGTCATCTAGAATCGTGTATCTGGTTACCAAAGAGATATCTTTGAAGAGTGACACAAAGCTAAATTTATGGGGAAATTACGTAAATAGCTCTTGACACAATGTTATTTACATATCTTTCACCCTCTTCCATCCATCAGCATTCTGCAGTAAAAATACTATGTAAAATTCAATGCCAAGTTAAACATGAAAGGGACAAAATTAAAAAAGTTTACAATTTGGGCTATATTATAAACATCAATCCACTTTATAAAAAGAAGCAAAAAGCAGAGACATTCGCATGTTCTACATCAATGACGTTGAAGTGGTCAACATGTGAAAGCATAGGTCGTCCAAGCTGCTCTGCTGTCTTATCATAAAAGTATGGATCCTCAATCGCCTTGGGCAGTGATAAGTCTTTCATTTAGAATTTAAACATCATAGCATCATCCCACATAGCGCATTGAAGAGTACGAGAGGGAGTAAAAAACAATTAAATTGATTGGGAAATTACGTACATAGCACTTTCCAAATACAGCTAAATCCAGAAAACTGATATTGCAATGGTTACAATGCAAAAACATAGGAGCATCATAAAAGTAGGGATCCCCAAAAAGAATAAAAAGGTACAAGATCATTACATGTAATAACGAGATAAATCTCACATATTCTTCTCTTGTTGATAATTGGCAATTCGAGATGGACAACAGATATATGTTGATGAAGTAAATGAATTTAAATAAATCTCTATAATTGAATGCCTGCATGCCAACTTGCAGCAAAACAAAAAGAAAAGAAATGAAAGCTCAAAGATCTGTTTCTTAAAAATGAACAAATTCTAAACAATCTCCATCGCATGAAAATTTAAAGAAACACGAAGTTGCAAGCTACATAATTAGGATCCCTTAAATCACTTATACAAATGGCAACTAATTGGAAAATACTGTCAGGAGATAAACAACAAATATTAAGCTGAACTAAAACGAAGTTCAAAAACATCGTTGATGTTCTATTACCTGATTGATTTTGCAATAATCCATATTCCAAAATGTCTTATATTGATTCAAACTAGTGCTATAAAGTAGGTGCTACTGTTTCTATCATATGTTGCATATCATAATATGCATTGCACACCTGGATGATGAAGAATGGCAAATCTAGGTGTCTGAGTATCTTCAGACCATCCATATATACCACATCATTGCCGCATAAAACATAGAGATATTCCATGGTAGCTCTCTCAAATTCTCACCCAAACAATACTTAAACAACACAATACTGCATATATACTGTAAGGCATTAAACTTGATAATTATTATAAAAATAAACCCCCTAATTGTATTTTAAGGTGGAGATAAGGCTGCTTGCATTTTCTCCTATAATGCAATTTCTTTTCATTTTTTTGATAATTTTCAAAGAGCCACAAGGCTTCAACATCTAGATAAAAAGACTAGGAAACTCCTTACCAAAAGGATGATAGATTGCTTCATGAAGCTCATGCAAGCCCAATTTCAAAGATTATGGTAAACGGAAATTTTTTTTCACACACAACAACTTTATCAAGTGAAGCATGACATCACAGAGCATCATGAAATTTTGTTGAGAAAAAATTATGCATTCATAGGCTTTGGATTTTCTTTGAGAAATTCTATAAGAAATGCCTCAAAAAGATTATTTGATTGATCATCATTGCCATCATATTTTCATCATTGCTAGGAGACAAATACAATAGGAAAATTCTTATGTGCATGCAACTTGGCCATATCATTGCTTCCCAACACCTTAACAATTTGCAGCCCTAAAACTTTTGGCATTTCCATGAGAAAGAGGGTGGAGCTTAATCTATAAATATCAGCCGGATTGAAAACAACAAACTTTGTGGCAACAAAAAAATTATAAAAACTCATTGATTTAAAATGCTCTTCACGCTGCATAATGGAAATCATATAAAAGAAAACTATGACAGTCATTATACTTGTATTTCTCTTTGTTATATACTTGCATTAGTGGAACTTCGAGGGAACCACATTTTCTAACTGCAAGCAACAAATTGAGCCCAATAATGATGTAGTTGTCAAGATATTTGGTAAATTTTTCTTCGATTGACCTGCATACTACCCCTTTTTTATGCATAGGTAAGATGGATGTGTTTAAAAAATTAAAATTTAGGTGTTAGATATGTAAAACATAAGAATTGAGTGGTATGTATCTAAATCTTCCTAAAAAACCAATAATTTTGAGTGTTATGTATGCAAATCCCCTTTTTCTACTATGCAAAATTGCTCCCATCGAAACATAACGGTGCATGCATGCCACCTAATGATAAACCACCAAGAGAAAGCAGAGAGCAAGCTTCTATTCCAATTTCACAAAAAAAGGGGCTGTTTGGTAGTAGCATTTGAGCGATTTAGGGTCTGTTTGGGGCAGCTGCAGCTTATCTAGATAAGCAGCTTATCCTGATAAGCTGCTTGACAGTTTGATTTGTGTGTTTGGAAAACAGCTGATTTGTAGCTGTTTCTGAATAAATGACCATTCTGCCTATGTGCAGTAGTGATTTTTGCAACAGAACTATCATAACTATATATTTGATAGTTTATAAGCAAAAAATCACTTCATAACAGTACAAAAAAGAATATACACCTCAAAAGCCGTCTCAATCAAAGAACAATGTAATCAATTTTAGTAAATAACTAAAAGAAGCTGCATGTGGAGATGGATTAGTCCTCCATGAAAGAATACAACAAATAACATGACACCAAGGCTGATTAACAAATATAAGGCATGTAACAAATTACATTAAAATTTGAGGCTGTAAAAGGGAAGTAAACTTGAATGTCAAAAAAAAAAAACAATTAATACATGCATTATCACTCTAAATACCTAAATATATATGGTAAATGCAACGTTGAAACTGATCAAATAATTAGTACAAAATGAGACAAAATTCATTTTATTAGTGTACAACTCCATTTCAATAATCATGACATGTTCTGGAAGTACAAAACCTAAAATACCTTTTCATTAAAACCTAGAATGCCTTTCCATTAACAAATGCAGTAAAACCCATTTTCTATAAGCAACTGCATTGACTATGAGTTCCATTTTCCTAGATGCTGCATTAAAGTAGATAGGGAAAATGGAACGACATGATAGAACAATATCTCTACTCAAATTTATTCTAACTATGTCTGGTAAGCCATCTTTTTGTTGAAAACTTTGAAATTACTACAAAATAAGCTTTTACTTTTACTAGTGAAGACCAGAGAAAGAAAAAATTAATTTCAAAGCTTATTACAAATAAGCTAGCCAACCTCTAATCAATACTCAAACAAATTTGCTACAAACTACTCTTAATGATTTTCTTCAAATGCATCATTTCATTTTTCAAAATAAATTATAATTTTTTATTAGTATAGAAAGGTTAAAAGTTTCTCATCTTTACTAATTTCTTGGATTTGAACTATAGAATAGTTAATTCATGATTTTCAAATCTACAAATTTGCATGAATTTCTCTGCCTCCATTTATTACGGGATTACAAAATCTTTTTTCCTTGAAACACTGGGATTAGAAGCTTTGAATTGGAAACTAGGCACCAACAACTGTTGCGTGATTTCAAAATTAAAACTTTGGAATGGAAAGTTTTGAATTTGAAACAAGGCACCAACAACTGTTACAGGATTTTAAAATCTATTCACTTAAAATATTGGGATGGAAAGCTTTCAATTGGAAATAAAGCACCAACAACTGTTGCGTCATTTCAAAATCTATAACTTAGAAATATTAGGTCGGAACAGGGGTTAGGAGATTACCTTGCAGTGAGCGAAAGTACTTTCGAAAAGTATCACCGGCCTGGGATTACAACCCGGGAGCGTCGCTTGATATTACCTAGCGGCGTCCGTGAATGCTTCCTAGAACTACTGCCGGTGTGGGATTGGAAGCTGTTAGAAGGCTATGGGAAGAAGTGTAGAACGACGAGATTTCGGGCACGGGATGAAAGCATGCACTACGGGAGGACAGATAGGTAAGAAATTTCCCTCGAACGTGGGCCGAGTGGTCCAACCTGTGGCCGTCGTTTAATACAAAAATTTTTCTGCTTATCGTGAATTGTATCTGAGACAGAGAAAACAAACAATAATGGGGCGTTTTA